AAACGAGTGAAGTATTCCTTCTCTAATTCAAGTTCGAGTACTCTCATAGAGAGAGTATGGCTATCCGACTATGAGTCTTCTTCCGGCGAGACTGTTCAGAGAAAGCACCATGTCACGCGTCAAGTGATTCGAGATGCTCCCCCGAACGAGAACCGGGAGTTTTCTGAGGGCAATGGCCGTGCGGATGCTGAGACTGAAATTATCTTGGTTTTCCCCCTTACCGATGACCACATCCCAATTATTGAGAATCAGCCAGTTTTCGCGTTCCTGCCAATGATGCCCTTGGGCTTCAAGGTGAGTTGGCATTTGCAGCACAGCATTTGGCATCCACAACATTGTTTCGAGCCTGCGCTGATTCACATGCAGTTCATCATCCAAGCCGATTTTGTCACCAACTCGTCCCGCGAGGGAATTTTGATTTCATCTGCACGTAACTTGGCAATCAGAGACGGTATTGCGACGTGTTTCGTCAAAGCCGTGGAAGAGATGTGCCAACATCCCACATTGCGTTTTCAGTGGATGCGATGGCTTCCACAAAGACATGCATACCCTTGGGATAGCTTCTGGAATGGCTTGCTCGATGACATTGTGAGCCGTATCAAGACGATCAAGACTCTTCGCACGAGGAGGAGCGGCCAATTGGGCGATATCCACTCACTACGTCGCCTACAGTCCAACTGGCTCGACGATGCTGGGTCTCCGTTATTTGACGATCTCAATGCTGAAGTTTATGCTGCCAAAGAATACGAGGTCAAAGATCTAAGCTTGCTAGAGCCGTACGGTCTAAAATGGTTGTCTGCAGACGACAGACTAGCTCGGATGGAACATGACCTTGGCCAACCGACCGGTAAATCAAGAATGAAGAATCCGTTCACCGGTCCGCAATGGCATTCACTAGCTGCCATTATGATTCAGAGACTCGTGGCTACGGCGTCCCCGCAAAGCTTAGCGAGGATTCGGACTTTGGACATCATACCTCTAAGGGATGGCACTTGGACCTCGATTAATCGAAACAGACGACCCATTTACTTCCCCTGCTGTCGAAATGGTCTCGAAATTCCCACAGATCTTCCCTTATCTCTGGTAAGTCCAGACGCATCTGCTGTCGAAGATCGATACAAGCTCTTCGAACTGCTTGGTGTTCAAACAGCAACGGTTGAAGAGGTCCAGCAATTGATCTTTGAGGCACCAATTCCGATCCTGAAGACCGAAGCAGCTCTGCTAGCATCTGTCAGCAACTTGAAGTTTCTATAATCGTCTCATCAAGATACTTCTCAAGGCGTAGAGAGCTCAACCGCAATCGCCAAGCTCTTTGTCTTTGATCACACAATGGAGGTTCAGCTACCTCATCGTCAAGATGTATACCTTGCAACAAGCGGCTCGTACGAGCCTCGCCGTCTTCTGCAGCCTACAGCAAATCAGCCAGACGGCTGCTTTGTGTCTTTTTTGCACGATCAGTATTCTGAATGCCCTCCAGAGACACCGGCAGGGTTGGAGCTGACATGGTCTGATTGGCTTGAGCGTTTTCTGCGAGTACGCCGTCGTTTGAGGCTAACCTCCCCTACATCTCCGGAAAACCTTTCTCCCGAGCTCGACTATGTCCGAAAGTTTCGCTCCCAATGCTTCATCGAAGCACTTCAACATCACTGGATACTGCTGAATCATGATGACTCTAGTACCCCGAAGTTCCTTTGCAACCTTCGAGCCCTCAACATCACATGCAAAGACAGCAGAGACTACCCGCTTGCTGATACAACATTACCGCTGTCAGAGCTTCAGGCCATTTCTTCTTCATACCTTGGAGATTCTACCATTAGCTTCCTTCAAATCGACGAAACGACTCATTCTGCTTCGTATCATTCGAAATGGGGCTTCTTAGTCAACGAGCTTGGCATCCGAGCTCGGGATGACGTGAACTTTTACTTGTCAATTCTGGAAAAGAATATTGAAGTTCAACCACAACAAGTGAGCTATAACAAGATTCTGAGTCTCTATGAAATGATGCAACTTCGACTTGAGAAGTCTGCAGTACGAGACCAAGTTGCCACAGTTGTGAGGTAAGGAGCTGTACCCCTAAAACACAAAGCAACTGGTACCTAAGCGACAAATACCTAATGAGACATAGGAACTTCTGCCATCAGAGAGATTGCATCTTAGTACCCATATACTGCAATCGAGAAGAACAAAGAAGGGCTGCTCTTGGAATCGCTACAACTGAGGACAGTACACTGACTTGGAGAAGGCCGGATGCCTGTGTCTGGACAGCCCCAGGTGTCCCGTATGCTTACACTGCCCTTGAGGGACAACTCATGAAACATTGCTCCGAAGGTCGATCGGATGCTTTGCAAAAGTTTATAAAGGGAACACTGGGCATCGGGGATTGGGACGAAAACTGCTGCATACAGGAGCTGAAGCACATGAAGGAGGCGAATTCCGATGATTTCGACTGGATCGTAGAGATTTACGACTTTCTCAACAACCGCGACATGTCGGAAAGCCAATTGAAGGACTTCAGGTATGTTTCGTAGGTTCTTTGTAACGAAAGTATCTGACGTTGTCGTTTCCAGGACCCTTTTCAGGACAACGCCTCTCATCTTTGTTCCGAAAGGCGAGACATCTGGATGGTGTACAACAACCGAGTGTCTATGGTCAAGTGGGGCTAAGATACGCGGACGAACAACACTTAGCTCAATCTACGAAGACTTAGAAGACTTTTTTGTCGAAAAGCTCGGAGTACAAAGACTGACTCTTTCAATGGCTTGCGATGAGCTTCTTCAAAAGGGAAATGGGCACCCAACCGCCACCATCGCCGAAGTTAAAGAGACAATCTGGGCGGTCAACACGCTTCTTCAAAGTGCAAAGTTGTATCCTGACCCAGAGCAGCTACTGGAAAGTGCCATATTTCCCGTTGAGTACCAAACTGGACAGATTGGTCTCGAGACCGGTCGCACACAGTTCGTTATTAGGGACCGCAAACCCTTAGCCGAGATGTTTGCTTCTAAAGTCAAGTTTCTGGACTTTTCTCTCGATGAAGTTCATAGGCTCAGCAACTTCTTTTCTTGGCTGGGCTTAGACTCTCGATATCTCTCCTCTTCCGTAAAGGAGATCTCTACTGTTGCAAGCGATTTTCGAATCAAAGTGCAACGCCCTGATAGAGATATCAAGAGGAGAGCAGGTGGAATCTGCAGGTGTGTAATTACTACCTACGTTATCTGCGTGTCATTTAGGTGGCTCTCAAAATCTTCACTAACCTGATCTCGAAACTAGGGTTGCATCTCACTTCAATAGTCCTCGTATGGACGACGTTCTTGGTCTATACCACACACTCTGTGCCACCGAAGTATTTGAAACGCATGGAATCTCATCGGAGGTTCACCTTGTTCAGGATGCTAAAGCACATATCCACGTCAAACTAACAAGCGAGCTTCACATCCGAGAGGCGGCTGGCCGCTTAGAGATATACGTCCCCCTGAACAAAGAAGGGCAGGATTTCTGTTATCACTCAAGCCTTCCAAGACGTCTTCTGGAGTGGGTGATGACAGAACCGGAGACACAAATTTGCGGGGCCATTCCACACCGAGCCATCAATGCGATGAGCTCAGCTCTCAACGCACCGATCCAAAGTGTGTCTCAGATTCTAGAAGCAGAGGGAATCATTGACATTGGCGTTGTAATTGAGGATGATCAAGAACAGGACTTCAAAAGGGCTTCTCATGTCTCGCCGCTACCTGCAGGAAACCCTCAACGCGGGGGTTTCGCGGTTGATCTGCCCACAAGACCCTTTTCTTTAACGGCATCCCGTTCCGTTTCCGGTCCTGCTATTATTCATCCTACGTTGACGCAGCCGACAAGTACACCTGCTTCACCTGACAGCAACGGAAGTTATCCCTTGCAGCCGACTCTACCTGTCAGTGCAGCCGCCGTAACCCCGCCATCACATATCTTTCATTTCGGGCAAGCATCCACAGCACCCACCGCGACGACTCCACCCAGATACGATGCGTTCGCCGCAGAATATTTGAGAATACTCAACAATGTCATCTTTGCTGCGCGGCGTGGATCCTTCCCTGCTTATGGTTCTTCAAGAACAGGACAGTCAACAGAATGTGTCTCGACCCCTACTCCGAATCCGTGGATACCTCCAGGAAGTGACAAAAAGATCGGCGCCGCCGGCGAGCTTTTTGTGAGTACAGAGGACATGAGCATGATTACTTTCTTTGATACGATCCTCGATGACTCCTCAAGAGTCTTTGCTAATCGGCTTCAGGTTTATGAACTCCTCTCGCATCTCAGTCCCTCACTTCCGGGATTTGGCATGGACGATTGGCAAAGTACGATGCGAAAACATGTGGCAGTCCATCCCGAATATTCCTACGTGACTCCTTGGGAAGGTCAAGAGACTGCCGATATCGTCTATGACGACAAATTTGGAGTTCCAACCGAGATCCTTGTCGAAAAGGGATATTTGGAGCGAACCAAGTGGATCGGCAAGAAACCGCATTACTTAATCGAAGTCAAGACCACGCCTGAAGATGCTTCAAGGCCGTTCTTTGTGAGCAAATATCAGTACAACAGGGTAGGGCTCCGTATCTTTCGCTATGGATGCATTGTGCTATTTGGCTGACCAAAGCTCGATGAAAATACACAGATGAGGGATCACACAGACGCGTCAGCGTCCTTGAGAGGATCTTGCACAGTTTACATGCTAATTAGAGTCTTCAACCTCACTAACTCGGACATTAACTTCAATGTCTACATGGACCCGTACGCCCTACAGCAGGACGGCACACTGGTCTTTACGGAACATACTTGGCAGGTTGTCCCGATGTGAGGATATAGAGTTGGTTGACAAGTTTGAGTCTCCTGCTGTTTGAAGTTGTCTGAGACCATGTTCCGTATTCTCCAAGGTCTGGTTGAGAGCATGGCTGATGCCTTCTTATGATTGCGCTTGTCTTTTATCAATCAGATAGTTTCCTAAATTTAATAGCCACTTCTCGCATTCAGATGATTCGTATGGTTCTGACTCCATCAAGGCCACCATTGGTCGATGTATTTTTATCGGCGACATGAGCTCCCTTCTGCAGTATCTCAATCTCTTCTGCATCATCCGTTACTGCCAGCCCAATCCTCTTGTAGGCTTTCCTCTCCTCATCTATGGCCATCAGCAGAAGACACCTCACAAAGCCATCGGGTTTACCCTGCTTCTGTGCGACAACGTAGTAAAGCGATCCCGTGACGTTTTCGTCGTCGAAGGCTTTCTGGCCAACGTCCATATGTATCAGGGGCCCAATTTCCCGTTGTGGATCTTTCCTCGAAGCCATCACAATGATACCGTTGACTTCCAGAGAAAGAAACCGACGTTGGCCGATGGACTTCACGAACATCTTGAATGGCAGCACACAGCATCTAAGGTCGATATGGCCTCCTTTCACTAGGCCCGTTTTGTTTTCTGACACGTACTCGATCTGGACGTCTTCCACGTCTATGAGTAGTTTCGAGTGATCAACCAGGGGCCCCGTTATGATCTTACCATCGACTGAGGCCCAAGAAAACGATGGGGCTCTGTACAACTCGGGTCGGATAGATGGAGAACCGTCGACCTGAGTCTCCTTATCAACGTGCCAAAGCAGATTGCTGGCTAGGTGCTTCCGCCACATCCCAACGACATAGGTGTCGTCAATGAGAGTTTCGAAATGCTGAGCTATACCTGAAAGGGCCAACAACTTGTCAGAGGCCATGGTCAAGCGAGTGCTACCATACGCCCTCGCGATTAAATCCCAAATCCGGTAGTAGAAGTTGGGGTCATCAGGCTCTCTCTCTTGTGACATCGCATCGGGGCCGTAAGAAACTTTACTGAGTCTCTTGAACTTTGTCGGAACGCTGTTTTCCAAGATTTCTGGCATCTTCTCTGGATAACACTCGGCCGCCACTTGCTCTCGACATTCCCAGAAGAGTTGATCGCGGCCAAAGTGAAGAACACGTGGTGAAAGCAAACGCTCTTGTAGAACCCAGCCGCGCTTGTTGAGATGACACTGGCCAACGACATGGCTCCAGAATGACAAGTCGACGATACTGCAGTCGACGTAATCCGTTTCCAGTCCAAACCCCTCCGCGTTGAGGCACATGTCGGTGGTCAAACTCACTCTCGGATCCCGCTCGGAAAAAAGGCCCTTCGAACTGTCGCGCGCTCCCGCTGCAGAGATGTTGCAGAAAGAGTTCGAATAGACTTTGTGCATCAAACCCGCCTCGACCAGCCAGTCGGAGAGATCGTCTCGATCCTGAAATATGCACAGCGAGTCTATCCAGAGATACCGCACGCCTAGTCGTCGTGTGACTTGGACTGCTTCGCGGAAAGTTCTAGGAAGCTCAGAGAGCTCAATGCCTCTTCGAAAATCATTGCACGTGGCCTTCTTCAGTTGCAGGAACTGGGCAGAACCCCAACAATGACTCAAGGTTGCGTAACGGTCATTATGCGAAGGCGGATTTGCTGCTGTAATCACCAGGCGGACAACATCTTTGCCCTCGCAGCCAGCCTTGAGGTCGAGCAATCGAGTGGGATACCACGGATTCGCTTTCAGCTCAATGTTGCAAGCCGTGTGAGTAGACAGACAGGCTTGCATCCATGAGGTTGCTTTAGTCCAAGCCTCCTCGGAATTTGTGCAGTTGCTAGAAAACGGCGTCATCTTTCCGGCGTTCCTGTCTAATACCACATCGCGTCAGAAAAAGGTCATGACTATTTGCTACTGTATGGACACTCACAGTCACCTCTCTGTACCACGTATGTACCGGAGATGTCCTTTTGATCAAAATGAATTTCATCCGTAAATCCCGACTCGAACGAAATGGATACCATCAAGTCAGACCCAATAGCTTTCAGACTCGGTTCTTCGAGGAGGACAACGGCGCCCATGGTCACTAAACCATCAAACTCATCCAACCGTTGCCCAGGTGTTTTGGACTTTGCATCCCCTGCCCCTGGGCGTGAGGTCCAAACGGCGTCGAATTCTCGCAGTCTATTCTGATCCTCCTCGTTGATCTGGAGCCAGAATGGACGGCATAACTCGCAAGCGTCGAGCGCTGATGCTTCAAGGCTCGCGACCGATTCGTGATGAGCAAGTAAAATGGTGGGCTCGGACCCCTCGTCGGTATCGCGAACCCAGCCCTTCCGGTGTTGGAACGCTCCAACGCAAATTTGACAAAACATCCTGCACAACTATGCTGATAGCGAGGAAGCTGTGCGACAGATTTGGGATAGAGACAATTGAACACTTGTCATTGTCTTTTGAGGCGATGCTGCCAATATGTTATGGGTGACGCGCCGTTGCGTCCACAGTCAGGCCCATACTTGTCCGCGCGCGGGGTCAATCCATACAGCTGAACTTCAGCTTGGGATGAGTTGAAGCTGATCATTGTGATAGGTGATGTTTCATGCATAAAGCTGGGTTTGATAGGTAGCATAGATATAACGTTGGGCTGGGGCTGGGCGCCAAGACAGCCACAGCGCCAACGACCCTGGCCCATTGGGCTGACTTCTTCACACACGATTGTAACCAATTGTGTTGCTTTAGAGAGCAGAACAGCAAAGAGGCCGCGAATTGCCTCATGTTTTCCTCCTAGCCAACTTGACTAGAGCGAGGGCAATATTTTTCGATTCGGATGAAGTCCAGGAGAGGTTGCCCTCCACTCTCTCGAGCGTTTCTAGACTTTTCGCGACTTTAATATAGAGTCGAAGCTTGAAGCTGAAGTGCGGGCGCGGTTGCTGGAATTCGTTTGTCGAGGAGAAATCGGTTCCGATGGTGTCTCGGCCTAGTATCTGTTGTTCTTTAAATTCGTTAGCTCTGTAACCGCCCCCTCAAAGATCGATGTGCTTGACTTACATCCAAACAATGACCCAGTGTTGAACACATTTAAGGCATGATTGTCGCAGAAGGAATTTACAACTCGTATTCACCGCGCCAACGACTTCGGCCCAGGCTTCCTCTGTATGAACTCCCTTGGGTAAAGAAGAAATCACGCTTCCGAAGCCAGAACCACTGTGCCTTTGCTTCTACTGCTTAATGTCCAATCAGTGCCCAATAAAGGCTGAAAGCCACGCGCTTTGAATATGTTCTCCAAGTGGCGCGCTGCTATTCTGAAAACTTGATGGGCATCACTTGGTGCTCAAGCTTGATTCTTGATGCAATAAGTTGGCTTTCGGTAGTAACAAAGGAACATCATTCTAGAAAAGTGAAGTTCCTGTCGGATTTCCTGAGTTGCTTCAACTTAAGGTTTCGAAGAGGAGAAAGAGAAGATGCAGGGACGGAAGGGAAAGGGAGGTTTGTCCACAACCCCCTTCAGACATTTGTCTTTCTCTTCAAGAGACTTTGACGCCGTAAGTCAAATTGACTGAGCATGAAAATAAATGCTACCAACGCCTTAATCGGTTTCGGACTTGAACATCGAGACTTTCGATCTATCGGCTTCCTCGAAAAATCGGATGATGTCGGAGAGAAAGCGAGTCAATAATTGGGCACTTCGTTTAGTTGAGCTTTTTGCGCGAGGTTGCAACACGAGTTCCGGAACTCCGCAGACCGCTCGAATCAGAACGGAGCAGTTGTCAACCTCCACGTGTGAGTGTTGCAGAGATATTGCAAAATGAGATACCGGTGTCACGGCTCGAACGGTCCAGCTGCAAGCCTCAACTCCCTTACAACCGCACGCCTTTGCCGATCGGCTCGGGGCGGACCCACTGATGCCCGGCGGGCGGCGGGTCCAGGCCATGCAGCCACTTAGAAGCAGCCCGCCGGCGCGCGCAGGCGGCCAAACACTAAACAGTCATAAAGTCGACGCTTCTCTCGGCCGCCCACAGACGCACACCATACACACACACACGCAGGCGGCAGAACACCATCTTCAGCCCATGGAACACACTATCGTCATTCCGGTCCCCGGAGTCGAAGATCAAGACCATAGACACGCCGCGCACTAGGTGAGAACTAGCGGAGACACCGTGCCACATCCCGCGCTGTCGGTATAGACGAGCGTGTGCACCTAGCCTTGGCATGGAGCTGATCTATTGCTGTCACTGTCAAATTGTGTAGATGTCAGACAGTCAGATAGATCTAGTCTCTAGGTGCCGACGGGCGGATAACATCTATCACAAGCCTAGACGGCTCTGGCGTGTTGCCTATCGCGACATTTTGCGACTATTCCCATACGACACCCAGGAGACTTCAGTCATACTACACGCTACTATGGGTTAGGTGAACGGCTCCCCTTTCCACGGGGCCACTGCCGAAGAATGGAGTTTTGTGACTTCCGCCCCGGTCGCGGATGGCGGAGAATGCGTGGATGGGCCCATATTGATCAAATCGCTTCGTGTAATCCCACGCGGTCAATTACACCGACAACGACAAACACACACGAGGGCGTCTTGGATCAAAAAAACGCTTGGAGTTGCCGTCGGCCGTGGCGTTTTCTCTCCCAGAAACCGTTATCAGCAAGCAACGCCTCCAACATTGCGCCGCGACGCAGCAGCATAGATACACGAGTCAGATCCCCGACGTCAGCGAGATGAGACGAACAGGTTTTTTGGGTATGCCTTTTGCATCCCTTCATTTGGAGACGGAGTGAGAACCCTCCCGAAAAAGGAGAGTATCCGAAAGGCACAGCTCGAAAAAGGAGACGCAATGGGTATATCATACAAGGAACAACCCTCAGCTGCCAGGTCTAATTCGGGTTCCTGGCAATAGGAATGGGAGAATGGAGAAGTACATCGTTATTGCGGTCGGGGGTGGGCTTGCCATCATGCACGAGCCCGCTGCCGCCGCCGCCCCCTTCAGGCGTTGAAGCGTGAAAGGCCAGCCCCCTTTCGGAGACCCACGGAGAAGACTTGAATAATATCCTCCTGTCTTTGCATCTGCAGTCTTGGCAAGCGACAGGCTGACAGACGATCCGAGAAACGGGGTTCAATATCATCTTGGATCTTAGCCTCCAATTACAGGCTAACAAGCGTACGTAGACCTCGTGTTCTCTGCATTTGCCATTGACCGTACCCGGAAATGCGGCAATTTGTGACAGGCTTCTAGTTCCCAGGCTGTCTTCAGCTGGCATGTGTGATTGTCTCAGTTTCTCGCTTTCTCAGTGTCTCTCTCCCTCGCTCAAATTTAAGCCTTGTTTTTCGTCTTGTTCTTTGTGGTGATTCTGCAGCCCGAAAATTTTGCAAGCCACCCCGAGAACCGGACGTACGGCAGTACGTACGCCGAACATTGCCCAATTGAACCCGAGCTAGGCATGGATTATTCGCAGGCTTGCAGGAATCTAATCGTCTTCTGGGAAATGGTTCACGCGGTGCTAGCTTCCGAGTCCGGGGTTGCCCCCGGGTCGGACGAGAGCAGCCCAAGACGGAGGAGAACTGACACAGGCCAGAACTTTTTAACTTGGTCGTTATCTAGAACGTTTCCGCTCTTGTGATTGGATGAAGCGTTATCTCCCCCGCCGGCATTTACATATTGAATTTGACTTCAGTCTTTTGCAAGACGCTTAGCTTTTGGAGGGGTGTGGTCGACGACTCGACACTAGGACTGGAGACCCCGAACAGTCGGGACATTTCCCACGCCACCGCGTCCATCCTATCACAGCCCTCAATTGGGTTCTTTGAGAGAGATAAGGCAACATTTTAGCTGTACGAATACCGTTTCTAAAACCAGATTGTCGCGGGGTCGCAGTGAATTCTATGGGGATTCCACGGTTCGAAGTCGGGATGAATCGAACCATGTGGGCGGGAACCCAAATGCAGTAGACACTAGGAGGCAGGGGAGTTGAGCATCGACTTATAACAACTCGACTCCCCTCCTCATCCAAAGTCAGTTTGGAGGGTGTGTCCGAACCACAAGTCAACCAACAACTTCGTCGACCTTTCACCTCGCCGCTCACACCAAGCCGGCTTACACAGGGCAACCCACCCAAACGGCGTCTCAGCGGTCGTTGAATCTAGAGTTCAACACCAATCCCGCGATCGAACACCCTTCACCGAGGCCTCACCGAAATCTCCACACTTCACCCCGGACCGCAACAATGCCTGACTGGAAGGCCATGTTCGCCCCGGCGCCGTCCCTGGACGTGCCCGGCCTCGAGACCGTCGACC